ACTAATTAGATTTTCCCTAAATCACCTAGACTTCCATCACGGAAATGAAATGTGCTTTACATTGAAATCCCCCAACTCTTGGGGGACAGAAAGGGCTTGAAGCAACCTGTGGGCAGATGTCAGCCTGTGTCTGAGAGTCGGGCTCCAGAAAGAGGATAAAGCCCCCTCTGCTCTTCTCCTGTCAGCGCCAGACACGGGATGCCCACGGGTGTGAGACCTGTTCAGTCACACAAATCCCCAACCTTAGAAGGATCCCACGCTAGATTTAGTGCTCTGCCATTAGCAGCTTGTAATTCTTAATACATTTTCCACAAGGGGCCCTCTACTTTCATTTTGCACTGTCTTCCTCAAATTATATATCTGGGCCTAATCGGGCATATGCTGCCGCGAGGGCTGGTAAGAAAGGAGGCTGCCTCACTAAGGGTATTTATAAACGATTTGGAGAGGGGTTTCTGTGCACCTGTAGGAGCATTTGCAGTGCAGCGCGCAGCGCACGGAGCACACTCACCTGTGAAATAATAACCAGCTTTGAAATGTTCTCTACTATAAATGCTACGGTGATGTCGGATAAAACACAAATGCGAGATTTCTTTTCATTCTGTGAACCCAGGGACATTCCTTTGTCTAGTTTTTAACTGAGAGGTGGCTACGTTTTGAATCCTTACATCAAGAAGTCCCTGAGCAGCTATATTATAAAGCTCGGAATCCAGCACGCATCCCTGTGTTCCACTGTTCCGTGTTGGAATATTAACATTCCTGCAGTCCCATAAATTATGTATTTGTTGCTGAATGTCGCTGTCAGCTATGAATGGCAGAGCAGTTCCTTCTGTGGCTTATTTTGGTTTGACAAGATCATTGATGTGTATCAGAATGCCTTAACAAATGAAGTGTAGTTCATATCAGAAAAATACAAGTCTGTTCAACGAGATAGATTCTCCTTCTTATCCCTGAATGTCGGGGTGCTGGGACTCCATACTTTAAGAGTATAAAATAACAAGCAGGATAGTGACAAAATAACTGACTGTTAAAAAACACGAATACCTGTCAAAGGTTTTATATTAGTCATTAATTAATAAGAGAATTACTAAGATATTGCGTCCTGTCCAAAGGTAAAAAAGAAAGAAGACGCGTGCATAGGTATGGAAACTGCTCAAATGAATTTTGAGAAGTTGTACAGCTGGCTTCTTCTGTAGGTGAGGGGGAACCTAGGGATAGTGGTGTTTTCACTGGACAAGATTTCTTTGTAGTCATGTCAGTTTTTTATAATGTAGAGTTATAAAATAGCTCAGCTAAAGGTCCGAACGTACAGACCCCTGTAGAATCAAATAACGCAGAAGAGTATACTAGAGTATTTATCAACCCTTTAAAGCCTTCTTGGGTTTGCTTTATATGTTTAGAACCATACAATATTCAACAGCCGTTAACGCCCACAAAATTTAACTTCTGCTTGGGAGTTGTTATGCTCAATCTCGGATTGGACTTTTCAAGCACCTCTGTTACTCGCTTTTCTAAGGCTAGGAGACCAAACATGAGAAATTCTTTACTGTACTTTACCTACAGTACTTTAAATCTTGGATAAATTCCTGGGAGTTTCCAGCATTTACTAGGCTCCCTGCAAGGTGCCTTCCTTACCTCCCGTAAGGCTAGGACCGTGAAAACCGTAGTTCTGGGGGAAAGGCTTTGTAGGCCTTGGCTCAGTGAGTACTTAAAGTAGGGAGTCATTTCTGATTCAGTTCTCAAATGTGATGCTCCAGTTGTACAGCTGGTTTGCCCAGCTATGTCCTGTGCATAGATTTTCACTGAGTCTATGCAGATAACCCTATTGCTTTGACAATTAAGGGAACTCAGTCACTTTTAAATTCTGGGAAGTAAGTGAGAATTGGGTATCTCTTAAAATATTTTGAGTTAGATTATAAAAACAGCTTACTAAATTATAGGCTAGAGATGACTTAAAAAGTAAGGAAAAAGACAGCCTCATATATCCAGAAAATAGAACATTGAAACAGTATCAACAGTATTCCAGGCAACTATCCACAATAAAATTTCCCTCTTCAGTTCATTCAGTCATATGAATAAACTGTAATTAATTTTTATTTTGGTGGTTCTTGGTTTAGCAGTCCATGTTCATAAAGCCATCTGTACCCAGACTGAAAGAGCCCAGAAAACTTGACTCAACCCACTGGCACATCTTAAAAATTATCCAAGCAACGTCAGCTCAGTGACCTGATCCCAGCAGTCTATTCTTTGAAGTGTCCATATTCCTAAACACCTGGTACGTGCAGGCCTTTCTGTGAAACTCTTGAGATTCTTGTTTATTGATGTCACAGACCCTGGCCTGTGCTTGCAGCACAGCCTTCAGACAAGTATCAGAATAATATAAAAGTGATCTGCAGGTAATAGAAACTTAGTGGCTTGCCAATAATATCAGAATGGGGAGAGTAAATTTCTCTGTTGGGATGCCCAGTAGCTATTGGGGTAGCTATTTCCTAAGAGTTTTGAGGACTGTGTTCCCTGGGGGTAAAAACACATCATAGATAATGAGAACATTAGCCAGTTTCCAGGGTCTTTGCATAGAATATTGAAAATGTTTTTATTAATAACATTTTACTAATACTCTCTTAGCCTAGGGAAGGAAGGCTGACAGCTCCTTTCATGCTTTCGTATGACTCTTCTTTCTTCCCTTCCTGCCCTTCTTTTCTTCTTTCCCTCCCCTCCCCTCTCTTTTCCTTCTTTCTCTTCTCTTCTCCTCTCCTCTCCTCTTCTCTTCTCTTTTCTCTTCTTTTCTTCTTATGATGCTAGTGATCTAACCCAGAGCCTTGTGCATAACAGGCAAATATTCTACCCCTGAGCTGCAACCCCAGCCCTAACTCTTAAAACATTACCACATTAAATGCAGTTATAGATAGCATCTCTATTTTTATTTTTGTAAGGTAAAGGAATAAATCCTTACAATTTTCCAGTACCTCTCAAAAAGAGATTTAGGCATAAAATGGTCTATTCCAGCGTGGAAAGTCAAAGCCAAAAGAGTTGTCAGAAGAGTCTTAGGTACTTGTTAGCACAACAGGACAGTTGCTCCAAAAATAACATCTGGCTACCTACATGATCAAAGTAACAATAAAAACGTTTTTAAATAAACACTGAAAATACATACTTTTAAAGAATTGGGCCAGGGATATAGCTCAGCGGCACAAGCACCTGCCTGGCGGGCACAAGGTTCTGAGTTCAATTCCCAGTACCAGAAAAAAAAAAGAATTGAGTCCTTTTTAACAAGCAAGACCCTTTTGGTTATCTCCCTCCCTTAAATAATCCAAGACATTAGTCAAGTCAACATAAAGCACTGAAAATAATTCTGATGAGATGTAGACTCTCTTCCAGCTAGGCGGAAGGTAAAGAATATGCTTTCATATTATAGTTAGAGGCATTAGTCAGTAAACCAGGGAAGCAAGCCGTCAACGCTGAGGGAACTTTGCCCAAATTATAATGCTTTTTATAGCTCTTTTAGCCCGTAAACCAAAGCAAATAAAACTCATTTCCAAGTTGTGTCCTTCATGTTTCCGTTTCATATTCTGCAGTAAATTAACACTTTAGCACCCTTATTATCTTGAGTATACAATGGAGTTTTCCACAGGCTACATGATAAATGATGTCACAATAGATGCAGAAAGATATGCATACCATCTCCTATTAAACCAGACAGTAGAAACGTTTCCTTAAACGATTACTTTTTTCTTGACAATTTTTCTTTTGGAAAATACATTTTTCACAAAATACAGATGATGTTAAAATAAGATGGATTCAACTTTTTATTTGAATCAATATTTTTTAAACTTCTCTTTTAATTTGAAATAGAGTAAATATTGATAGTTATCACTCATTTAAACCAAAGCTCTTTGATGTTCTCAGATAAATTTTAAGAGCATAAAGAGATCCTGAAACCAAAAGGTTTGAGAAGCACTGATTTAAGACACAACTACTTTTTCTGTCAGAAACAAAAGTATGTACATACTTGTATTTCTTTTTCATTATTTCACCTAGCGTAGTCTTGACTCTTCATTTTAATTGTAGCTTATTTAATTGTGCCACAGTAGTTTATTTCAGAAGAACAGTGGGAAGAGGAGAATATAGACCGTTTAGAACTGTCTTGATATGTGCAGGCAATTTAGCAGGCCACCAGAGTTCATGCATGAATGGCCAGTATTTCCATTGTGATACATATTACTTTTACATCAGCCGTATAGACATCAAAGAACTGCTATCCTTCCCAGCAGGTCCAACATTCTTAATTGATTTGGACTCAAAATTGACGAATACAAACAAAAATGACCACGAAGCCGGATAACCCTGCTCTCAGTAGATCACTATAATCCATTGCTAGTGATCACCAAACTGTCAGCCAGAAAACTGGATTCTCTACCATTCTTACCACTGGGGGAAGAGGAAATAACGTGTCAGCCACGTACAAACTAGAAAGAAAAATAAAACACTAGAAGAAAGGAAATAAAAACTAGAGTAGTAAAGAGTCAGTGAAGTTCCAGTCCATCGCTGCTTTCGATTCATTTCAGGAGCCAAGGAAAAGCTTCTCTGTCACCTAAACCCAGGTGACATCTCAGTAGATGACCTCAGAAATGCTTAAAAGATATTTTTCTCAAATGTAAACTCATGGTTTAAGAAAATATAAAATGAATGTGTACTGTGGACTTTAGTTAGTTAAAGAAAGGGAAAACCAGTAAAGCATAACTAGAACCAGTTCAACAATGAGCTTTTCTCTTTAGGTGTTGGCTGTTGACAAAGACTGCGCCTCCTAGGGCCCGAGTTTGTTGAAGCAGCACCTAGACAGGTTAATTCTGACCATTAGTAGGTTAAAGATCCTTTCAGGTTTCTGGGGTCCACACTTGCGGCTCAGAGTAAATGTGTGCATTGGTCAAGTGTACTGGGATTTCTGCCGTTAGGCCTTGTACTTGCTTACCTGCGTTGTCACCAGCCCTTGGTTTCTTTCACAGCGACAAGGTCCAGGCCCTCTCCTATGCACAGCACACGCGGCAGCTCATCTCCTGCGGTGGTGACGGCGGCATTGTCATCTGGAACATGGATGTGGAGCGGCAGGAGGTGGGTGTCACTAGGCTGGGCTGGGCCCTGCGGTTCTGCCTTCATCTCCCCTCCTGCTTATCTCTTACTTCTTCGATAACCAAACCATGAAATAAGACATTGCTTCAGAGTATTAAAAGTTACAGTAGGAGGCGAGTTCCCTTGTTCCCCCTTCACAAACTGGCATGGAACATTAATGTGACAGAGAGTTCGTGTGAATTTTGATTAAGACTAAGATGTTTACACCTTAGGTCGTTTTATACCCTGATCTATTAAACCACTCAAAGCAAAAGTACAGGTGAGAAAAAGGAACCTTCTGTTTCCCAGTGATTAGCCCTTTGTTATAAAATGCCCCCTGAAAACAAGAAACTCCCAGGCTTTGTGTTATAGAGGGTAACAGTGGCTAAGAAGTAAGTAACCTTAATTTGGTATGAATAGGAATAAGTATTAATAGAAATACTAGAAGTAATTTTTGTGCTACTTTATGACTCATGTTCTAAGTACCCATCTTTTTTTCAACTTTTTAATTTTATCAGATAAAACATACTTAAATTTTAATCAGAACACTCTCTTTTAATGAACTTGACTTTTAATCTTTGAGCATTTTAACAACTGATATGTTTACTGAAAAGCCCCTTTGACAAGTACTTTGAAGATACCCATTTTCACATTACCCTAGAGTTATTCTGGGTAGCCTTTCCCTTTGAGAGTGTACATTCTCTTAATTTATGTCTTGCAGGATGAAAGAATTAGAAGAAGAACACTGTTACCAGACAAAAGCTATTTCCCAAACTCTTTCCCTGCCCTTACCCCAGTCTCGTTTCAAGAGAATAGTTGCTATTACCTACAAAGTAATGCCTTTCAAATCCCAGTAATTAAATGCTTAAGAAGATTAAAGCTTTATTTGCTCAAACCATAAATCCACAGGAGCTCTATTAGTAACTAATTAAAATGATCATTACTGTTCGGAAGCGGGACTTGTAGAATATTGCTTTTCAAAAGTACACTTGGCACCTTCCATGCAGAGCCGAGGGGCGTTACAGTGAGTGCTGGTCACACAAGCCACGCTCCAGACTTGGGCCCAGCCTGGTGGCCTGCTTTGAATCAGGGACAGTCTCACCTAGTCCGGCATGGCTTCTTTCCAAGCTTTCCAGGCTGAGCAACAAAACAGCCAGGATCTTTTCCCTGCAAACAAGTATCCTCTGCCCTCTATGCAGAGAGGCTCAGAGGAGGATGACAGGTGATTTCCAGCGTTAAAAGCAGGTGGTGATGCATGATCCTTTGAGCCCTCTTGCTTAAGTTATGCTTCTTGACATGAGATTTAGTATGTGGTGGTTTTCGAGTCTCTGTGAGAAAGTCAGTGTCTGAGTAAGCAGTGGAAATGCATCCACATACCTTCTGCAAGTATGTTTCTAAACCTAAATGTCCTGTGATGTCTCTGTGCCGCTCTGTCTGGGGATCGTCGTCCTGGCCATGGCGGGGGCTGTGCGGTGCCCGACCTGGGGGAGCTGAGACTGTAATAAAGCACTGGCCAACCTGATGCACAGAGAGGCTTTCAGAAAATTTGAGATTGCTAGTTAGGGTCATAAACGAGGAATCACATCAGATGTAAGATGAAACATTCGTGCCGGTGTTGGAGCGGGAGTTGTTGCTCGGCTAAATTCTCGGGGAAGGGCTTATGGACGGTCCACTGGGGCTGGATGTGCTCTGAGCAGGAGCCTCGTGGGCTTTAGAGGACAAGAAGCAGCAAGAACAGGGACAGGATCGGCACGGTGCGTCAGTGCTCCTGAGCAGGTGAGCGGCACTCGGGGGTGAGAGGATGGCGGATAGAGGACGGTTAGGGACAGGTGACAGGAGGGTGGCTGGATGCAGATGCGGCTGACGTCCTGTACAACAGAGGTCCCAGCCCCTGGGTCAGGGCTCAGCTCCCCTCTGAGGCTCATTAGGAATCAAGCCACACAGCAGGAGGTGACTGGCAGGCCAGCCAGCAAAGCTTCATCTAGATCACAGCCACTCTCCATATTTGTTACCCCATGAGCTCCGCCCCTGTCAGATCTGCAGTGCTGTTAGGGTCTCACAGGAGCGCAAACCCCACTGCGAGCTGCACGCAGGGGCTCGAAGTTGCTTGCTCCTTTAAATCAGCCCCTCACCCTCACTCACACCAGGCGCACCCTATGGAAAAATTGTCTTCCGCGAAGCTGATCCCTGGTAGGAAAACCTTGGAGACTGCTCCGTACAACATGTGTTTGTCCATTCTGTTAATAAAATCCACTTATTCAAACATCATATTTATTTCATCATTTTTATGGTTTTGATTTTTTTGAGGAAGTTTCACTATTGAATCCAGGCTGGCCTTGAACTTACTGTGTAGCTGAGGCTGGCCTCACACTTGTGGCAATCCTCCTACCTCAGCCTCCCAAGTGTTCGGTACACAGGCATGCACCACTACACCTGCTTTCAAACATCATTTTTTAAAAGTATGTGTTGTATGTAATACATGTGCTTTGTAGAAAAGTTACAGAATACGCATTCACAAATAGCCGGTCAGTGACTTACAACGCCACCACCCAGAAACTTGTTGACACACACCTTTCCTTGCTTTTTTTTTTTTTTTTCTTTTTGTCTTTTTGAGACGGTTTCACTACCCAGTTCAGGCTGGCCCTGAACTCATCATGTAGCCCACACTGACCTCAAACTCACAGCAATACTCCTGCCTCAGCCTCCTAAGTGCTGGGGTTACAGGCATATGCCACCACACCCCGCTCTTAGATTTCTTTTCTACACATGTAAAATCTTTTTAACAAAAAAAATGAAATCCTATTATATATGCTGATTTACTTTTCTTTCTTCTCTCCTGTTCCTTCCCAAATTCCTCATCACAGATACTCACAGACCCACTGTGCTGCATTTGATGTGTGTTTAAACAAGGGTGTGTATGTGTGTGTGTGTGTGTGTTAAAGTTTGCATACATGATGCTGTACTACAAGCCCGTATTTGTTTCCAGCTTTTCCCCTGGGACCCTTTCTGAGCTCTTCACATCCTGCTGTATGTGTCTTGGGCTACTTCTGCATAAGATCCCATAATATGTAGCAGTGCCATTTTAGCTCTGTTCCCCAAGCAAAGGACACATAGATTGCCAGAAACTCTGGTGGCACACTTACATAGCATCCAGATGACCCTTACAATTCCCCAATAGACCTATTGTGAGATCAGTCTGGGCATATTCATGATTTTGCTAAGTAACCAAAAGGCTGTGTCCATTTATACTTGTAGTGGGAGACATGGAGTTTCCTGCCCTGACGCCTCACAATCTCCCCAACAGACATTGTTACTCCATTTCTGGTTTTGACCTTCTGGAGATGGTAAAATAGTATCTCGTTTTAATTTGCATTTTCTGCTCAACAGTAAATTTGAGCTTTTTAAAAATACTTAGCTTTTTTGCCTTCCCTGTCAATGAATTAACATGTTCCTATCTCGTATCTTCTTGCCAATTTTTCAGGAGTTTCTTGTCATTTTCTTATTGTTTTGCAGGGGTTCTTTGTATATTGTATATATCTGCAGGAGCTCTTTGTTAGTTATGTGGATTTAGTAAATATCTTCTTCTAGCCTGATCATTTTGTGCCTTAGGTACTACTTCCTAAATGGAGGTTTTCTCATTCATTGTATATTGACCATTTTCCATGCCTTTAAATATTTGTTTTAATAACATAATTTTAGTGGTAATAAGGTTATATTAGGGAAATTATTTCTTAGATAAATATTAATACACTCCCTCAGTTCTCTAAGGAGCATAATAATATGGTTTTATTATGTACAGTGAGTTGCCAGTTATTTTTTCACTATAAGTTCTTAGCCCAAATTTGATTACTAACTGTAAGCATCACTGAATTTATTTGTAGAACAAATAAGTTTTTGTTTCTTCTTTTTTTCTTGGGGGTTTTCATTTCAGAAATTTGGATAGCATCAGCATTCGGGTCATGGCAAAATCAGGACGTGTATAAAATACCAACAATACACTAGATTCCCTCTCTCTTCTTTCTTCAAATTACCCTGATTGTCCTGCATCATATGGTCTGAAAAAGGATAGCATAGATAACTGTTCGGGTGATAAAATGTTGTCTTAGGTAAAAAACCTTGTATTATTATATCAAATCTGTCTTCAAATGGAATATAGAATGAAGATTACAAAATAAATCAAGACTTACTCTTTGTCTTTGGTTTTAGTGAAATAGACCAGCAATAGAACTCTTAAAATGTTTCTAAAAATGTATCCAGAGCACATCTCCCTTAGAAAAGGGTCATATCAGCAACAACAAAAATCTCCGGAGCCTCTACCCAATATTGTCCCCTGTGAATGTCTAGAGGGATTGGAATGCTCTTTATGTAGCATTTCTCGAACTTGTTTGATTCCAGCCCTCTTTAAAAGTGTCTATTGAGTAAGATGCTCCCGGAATACACTTTTGGTAAACCCTAGGGTTGGGCATATTTTTCAGGGCTCATCAGGTTCTGTGCTGTATGGAAGGAAATGACTTCCTCTTGCAAACATTAATAATATAGTTTTTAATATGTAAAGTTAGGGGCTGGGGATTTAGCTCAGCAGCACAGCACCTGCCTGGCAAGCGCGAGGTCGTTCAATTCCCGGTACCAGAAAAAAAACAAAAAAGAAAAATATGTGAAGTTAGTTGTTGATTGTTTTTTCACAAGAAGTTCTTAATGAGCCTAAATCTGATTACAAACTATAATTCTGCAGAATCAGATACAGAACTCTGGAAGCAAATGTAGTCACCATCTACATAATCAATACCGATTTACTAAACAATAGCTTTACACAGGGCATACTTTGAAAAGTGTCTGACACAGTGTGGGTTACATGTGACAGGACTGGGAAATAATGAACAAAGCCGGAATATAGTGTGACCCAGAAGCCAAGAAGCAGAGTCTCACAGCCTGTGGGGCCCTGCCGTGAGCGAACAGTGGACTACTAGCCTCCTCAAGTGTGCACGATGGTCAGCTTATACCGCTCTAACACAGGCTTCGTGTGTGTGTGTGTGTGTGTGTGCGTGTGCGTGTGTGTGTGTGCGCGTGTGTGTGCGTGTGCGTGTGTGTGTGCGGTGTGCACTTGGACATCACTGTACAGTCAGAGCACATGTAGTTACAGTCAGTCCAAGCATATGAGATACAGCCTAAATCTCCAGCATGGCTGCCAAGAGTGGAGTAAAGCCCAAACCTTTGAGCGTACAGCCCAAACCTCCAGCCTCATCCCTCATTCCCCGCATGTCCTCTGGCCAGCCTGAGCTGCTCTCGGCCCCCTTTCCCTGGCCTCTTCCTGTCTGTCCTCAGGTCTCAGCGGACTTCCCTTCTCCCCGAGAGCACCAGCCTTGGTCAGAGCCCTCTGTTTACCTTTACCGTAGCACTCTGTGCCTGTCCTCAGGCCTTCGCTCACTCAGACTTCTGAATAATATTTTCATGACCCGCCTTCTCTGATAAACTGTAAGCTCCACAACGTGTTTACCACCACATCCCGTCCCTAGGACCTGACACACAGACTTTGAGTAAATATTTTTTGGATGATTCGCTTAGAAACCACGCCGCTGTTTAGGCTAAATGCATCCTGATCCCAGAAGGTTCATCAGTGTCAGCTGTTCCTTTGTCCACACTGCTTCTCACTGTGACCTGTTATGTGCTTTATTTGGTCAGACCCCTGAGTGGTTGGACAGTGATTCCTGCCAAAAGTGTGATCAGCCTTTTTTCTGGAACTTCAAGCAAATGTGGGACAGTAAGAAAATTGGCCTAAGACAGGTGGGTGATTTGGATGTTTCGTCAAGGTGGAAATAACTTAACTTGGTAATCTTAGAAGAAATAGCATGCCTGGGTGGCAGTTGTGGTAGGTAGGGGTAAAGTATTATCCTGGAGTCCTCTTGTGACTGCCTGTTTATATACCCGCCCCCTTTGTTGTAACTCATTCCTATTAGATTCAGTGTCAGCAGCAGTTTGTTTCCAGTAAGTAGTTGAGGAACACAGCTTTAGAATTCTAATGGCATCTATTGAAATGCACCTTAAAATTAAGAGGCGTCATGCTTAGCTCACATTGGTCCAAACCATGAAATTATGTAAGCGGTATTTATGTCTTCTTAATTGTTACACTTTCCCTCCTCCTGATTTGGCTTTAGTTATCTAGAGCTGCTTATAGTATATCATTTCCAGTCCGATCCCGTGGTTCAGCTTGGTCTTTCCCAAGGAAATCCAAAGGTCACAGCAGTTAAACATAGCCAAAGACATAGGCAGTGGGTTGAATGAGGATTCTTCCACTTCTCCTTCAGCCAGCAGCATAATCTCTGGAGATAGCACTTCCTCAGCATACCTGGCTTTAAGACCACACTGCTGGGTTCTCTGTAGTCACAGGGACGGTCATGGGAAAGGAGGGAGGGTGGAGAGCGGACTAGGGGAGGTGACACACACCATCAGGTGTGTCTCCAGCAGCCCTCAGTCCGGACACGCACAGCCCAGAAAGAGAAGGTATCTGGTGCGCTCCCGTGAGGTTTCTAGGGCAGTCTTGCCTTGCGTCCTCACCTCAAGTGATCACAGCTGAGTGTGCCATTTCCTGCACAGCCATAGCCACCTCTGTTTTCTCTCCTTGCTCCAGCACCATTGCCGGAAGTGTGGGAAAGCCGTCTGCGGCAAGTGCAGCTCCAAGCGCTCCTCCATCCCCTTGATGGGCTTCGAGTTCGAAGTGAGGGTTTGTGACAGCTGTCACGAGGCCATCACAGATGAAGAGTGAGTTCCACTTTCTGCAGGATTCTCCTGGTTACAAAGGGAGCCACCCATGCCTTGGATGGCCCCAATTCCTGCTGGATTAGCTACAGACCACTGCAAGTGATAAAAGTCCTTCTTTACCACCAAGAGATTTGTGTTATCTTGACAGATAGATAAAGAGAGAATACAAGAATTTCTGCCTGTGGGTGTGTGTGTGTGTGTGTGTGTGTGTGTGTCTCACACTGAGCTACATCCCCAGGCATTTTTTATGTTTGCTTTTGAGACAGGATCTTTCTACTGCACCAAGTTGTACAGGCTGGGCTTGAACTTCCTATCTTTCTGCCTCAGCCCCACTCCCAGAGTGCTGGGATTGTAGGGGTCCACCACCATGCCCACCTCATCTCTGTGCTCTTTTTAATCCCTAGCGTATGTTCATTTAAAGTACAGTGGTACCTCAGTTCACAAACTTAATTCTTTCCAAGATTCTGGGCACAAGCCAAACTGGACGAGAACCAAATCAAATTTCCCTATAAGGTCAACATTGAACCTAACCACTGAATTTGATTCAGTTCTTCTCCGACTTGGTTTGCGACCAGAATCATGGAAAGAATCAAGTTTATGAACCAATTGCAGAGGCTCTCTCAGTAAATGCTTCTGTTGCTCATTCACTGAGAATTGCCCGGGAGTGTGGGGGCCTAGGACTCACTTTGTAGCCCAGGCTGGTGTGTTTGCAGGATTTGAATCAGGCCTGGCTAACCTCCAGAAGAAGGTTTCAGTTTTCAGGAAGAGCTAAGCTGCTTTACCTAAGAGGCAAATATTCTCAGTTGCTCACTGCTCCACTGGCTGCCTGTCAGTCCTCCTAGGACCTTAGGTGTGCTCTGGAAGGAGGTGCATTTTCTCTTTAATCTTGGCTAACTGAAGACTCCTTCAATGCAAACAGAATGCTCTGAACGAGCTTCCCCTTAACTGAGGTGCAGGAGGATCGGTCTCCTAGGTGATTTGTCTTCCAGTCCTCCCAATGTAGTCAAATCATTTTAAATATTCTTGTTTACCCTTATCAAATATAAATTAAGATACCTGTATATAAGTAGGCACTTATGTTCATTAATTATTTTCCACTGATCATACGTGATGAAATTAGTAAGTTTTTATTAAACAGACAGCTGCCAGAGACCTTAGGGATAGTCTAGTTGAGTTCTTTATTATATAAAGGCACAGACCAGAAAGTCTAAGGAACTCGAAGATTAAGCCTACATTTTTACTTTTGAAGATTTGAGTGTGATCATTTTTAGCATACTGAAGATCTGTCCTACAGACTTAGCTGAAGAAAAGGGAAAAAAAAACTCCCATCTTCTGAGCAACTAGTGCAGTGGTGAGACCCTTGGACTGTGATAGGGAGTAGCCATCTGCTTTGCAGCCTCCCTCGCCCTTCACATCTCACTGTGTCTCCCACCTCTGCTTCATGAAGTATTGGCACTGCTTCTTGAGCACCTAGGCAGTCAGCAAGGCCTCGCACTTTTAAAAAAAGCATTGGTTGAAAAATACACAGTATGCTGGCCATGGGGGTGCATGCTTACAGTCCCAGCACTCAGAAAGCTGAGGCAGGATGATTGCTGCAGGTTCAAGGCCAGTCTGGGCTATATGGTAAGTTCAAGGCCAGCCTGAATTACATAGTGAAACCTTAACTCGAGAAAAAAGAAAGAAAAGATAAATTTGAGGCTTTTATGGGTGAATGGATGCAACTAGAGACCATACTCATAAGAGAGATAAAACAGACCCACCCACATGTGTTAACATCATATTGTCTCCCTTGTGTAAGAACCTGAAAGAGTAAATAAAACTGGGAAAGAAACTGCTCAATGGGAAGGAACAACTGGGATGAGGAAAGTGAGAAAAGAAAGGGGCCAGGGATATAGCTCCGTGGCACAGTGCCTGCCTGGCAAGTGTGAGGTCGTGCGTTTGATTCCAAGAAAGAGAGAAAGAAGGAAGGAAGGAAGGAAAGGAAGGGAGAGAGAGAGAGAGGGAAAGAGAGAAAAGAAGAGAAAAGAAGGAAGGAAGGAAGAACAGCAGTGCAAAAAAGAAAAGAAAGCAAATGATGTTTGTTTATGTATTTTTTGTTTTGTTTTGCTTATAGAAGATTTAGAATACTACAGAAAAACTGGTATAACTGCAGTTACACCAGTGAAAAAAAGGAAAATGAAAGGATAACCTTCAAATAGAATGTCAGTAGGATATTAGGCATCTTAGCAAGCACCTTTCTAGAAATTAAATAGCCCAGGGAGACCTAAGGTCCTAGGAGGACTGACAGGCAGCAGTGGAGCACTGGGCAACTGAGAATATTTGCCTCTTAGGTAAAGCAGCTTAGCTCTTTCTGAAAACTGAAACCTTCTGGAGACCAGCAAGTCCTTTCTTATGAGCACAAACTTTTCAAAAGCACTGTGGTTTTTTAAAAACATTTCCCAAAAGCGTGGGTCCAGATGGCTTCATCTTCAGCACAGTCTCCTGGAGGACCTTTGGAGACCGCATCTCTTTCCCATTTGGGGACTGCAAGAATTCTTTTACTTCGTTATATTTTTTAAATCATAACAGTTCAGCAGGGAAAAAAGGCAATCTTGGAAGCATTTCTAACAGTGAGGCAGTTTTAGCCGATAGCCTAAAAATGTAGAGCCCAATAGCATCCCAGATCTCCATAGTTCATATTCCACCCCTTCCTCTCCCCTTGTTCTTCCAGGCGTGCACCCACGGCGACCTTCCATGACAGTAAACATAACATCGTGCATGTGCATTTTGACGCAACCAGGGGATGGTTACTGACTTCCGGAACTGACAAAGTCATTAAGGTAACCGTTGCATTGCGCTTTCCCTTCATGGCCCTATGTGCATAGAAAGGGACACCAGGAACGTGTGAGGCTCTGCTCAGGAGTTATCACTGGAAGTGAGCTTTTCTGAAAGCCTGCTATATGCATGTCTCTAGCTGTGAGGAATGAATAGTCTACTGGGGACATAATCTTTTTAAAAAAATAATAGAGCACATATGCAGCCATCAGAAGAGTGGTACAGGTAAGAATAACCTTAAGAGTTCACCATAGGGAAATGGTGGCGCTAGAGAAGGGGTCGGGTTGGGAAGTGGGTGGGATTGAGCTGAGCGCTGCGTGAAAGGCAGGACTTGAATAAGCCCACGGCTAATAAACAAGATCCTCTCCCACTGAGATCAATTAATCCAAGAGTGTTCATCCAGGGCCTCTCTGAGGACTGTGGTAGACCACAAGGACTCAGTGCCACAGCAGATTGTGTCCTTCCCATGCCATTCTTGGAGGCAGCAGCAAGATGCAGTGGCTAATAACCCCCTTTGAGACCCTCTGTGTGACTTCGAGCAAGTTTGAAGTAAACCCTGAGAGCCCCAGTTCCTTGATTTTTGATGTCTTATAGAATTGTTCAGAAGATTAAATGAGAAGATGTGGGAAGAACACAGCACAAGCTGAGGGTCCAACATACGTTAGTTCCCTTCCTCCTAATGAACCTGATACGCATTTATTCTGCATCAGCTGGATTAAATTTCAGGCCGCCCTTTTCATGTTTTTTAGCTGTACAGAGTCATATTAGGAGGGTATGCAGTCGCTTGTTAAACGAAAAAACTTCACTTGAATTGTAAGGACTGTTCATCTTCAATATAATCTGATTTTAGTTTACACTGTATTTTCTTCTTCTTTTTACAGTTATGGGATATGACCCCAGTAGTGTCTTGATGACTGTCCTAGGAATCAGAAAGATAGTATGTACTAAAGAAATGGTTGTCTTAATCCAAATGATACTGGAGAAGTAAAGCAAAGCAGACTTGTGAGAAGTAAGAGAAAGTAAAGACCCTAGGGGAACGCGCGTCTTACCTACGCAGTCAGTGGTGAAGAGCAAAAGAACATTCGCAGGGACTTTTCCACTTGTTCATAAAATATAAAGAAGATATTTTTTTAACAAATGGTTTCTACAGTCTGGCTATGCTACATTGTTTTCCCACATTCTTTAAGTATGCTGAAAACATCTGTGTGGGGTGTTTAATTTTTATATTTTCCAGCCCTCCATTTTACCTGTTGCTTTGTGTGTTGGAGAAATACGAGAACTATCTGTTCAGAGTATTTTGGTCATTGTAGTTTCCACGTCTTCTTCACTGTGGCGTATGGCCAGCATCTTTTGCTTCTCTTCTTTCACCTACTTGCACCCTCTGTGCTGTTTGCCAGAGTCTGTGTATTTATGTGTTTATTCCCAGTGTTCATGCTTTCGTTTCTTCTCAGTGGAGAGATAGGAAAAGCATTTGTATGGCTCCACCAGCCAGCTTCTTGAATTACCTAAAGAATGATCCGTCTCCGTTGTCTGACCCGTTCATGTCCTCACGTAGAAGTGACTTCGTGTTTCTGCCTCAGGTTTGTGTGTTTCCCACTTTAGAAAATGCTGTGAGAAAGATGTTCCCACCATCGTCACCCCAGAAGTAGATGGTTAGAACTCACAGCTGCAACCATCAGTGCCTGGATCACTTAGCATCAGCTGGGGCCTCCTGAGCCTCTTACGTGTTAGGGTGTTTTTTGTTTTGCTTTGCTATGTTTTGTTTTGTTTGTTTTGTTTTTACATAGCTCTTACTTAAACCATTCAGAGCAAAAACCTACAAGCTCCAAAAATAAATGTCTTTAAGATTTGTTTTCTGTGCAACATTATCTCTGAACTGGAACATGTATTACTATAAGATTGTAATCCTGCTCTCTGTCCTAACCATCTATATTTTCTTACCCTTCAAATTTGACAAATATTTTATCTTACTGTATGTCATCCGAACATTTGCACACTTTCCTCCTGAGACTGTGTGTGATCTGAGATGCATAGGTACTGAATGCTACAGCTCCTGCTGGGTTCCTATTGGGGACATAAAAGGATTTCAGAAAATGAACAGGGATTCTTACTTCTAAGGGAATCCAATCAAACTTGATAAATGATCACCTCAGGATACTGAGGTCCTTTTTTAAAACCCTATTTTCAGTGTAAAAAGAGAATTAAAATGAGTGGCAAGCATGTGCCAGGTACCCGCCCCAATTTGTGCCCTTTATATGGATACCACCTCATGAGAGCCTCACCTGTCAGCAATCTTCGGGGCTCACCAAGACTCTTGAAGATCGCCAGGTTACACAAAGTCTCACAGATCAACAGGTCGCTTGCCTGCTTTCCCCCCTCTGGGTCCCGTCTCCACAGAGGCTGTTCACTTCCGACTTGACAAGTTTGGGGTGGTAGATAGGAGTTCGGTGAAATAGAAATTCTCCCTGTTACTGTTTCTCTCCTGGAAAGCATTTTAGTCCCCTCACAATCATTCATTGCTTTTCCTAGCTGGTGATACTCACTGAAAGTTACAGTGGGATACCGCCCCAACCCTGACCCGGTACACTCCCCGGGGATGGGGCTTCCTGGAGGTGATTCTGCTGGTCCAGCATTGGGAAGCAGGGCCATGGTGTGTGTCCTGTGTATCTGTGGCACATGGCAGCCATCACCTGAGGCCAGCACTCTTGAGGATGCACACAGGCCTGCACACACAAGGACATCACCACCATCTGTCACTTCACTGCCCATTCCATGCTACTGTTGCTTGTGTCCCATCAGAGCTGTTAGAACTCCTCTGAGTCTGTTCTGCATGGTTGCTGTGTAAGACAGCTTTTAAAAAGGGATTGCATTTAAAATACTAGACTATCTGTTTTGTAGTGTATTACTAGAACCTGTGGCCACTAACTATGTTGTATTAATAGAGAGCTGCGTGCTGGAAGTGGGTAATGGAAATGAATCACTCTGTTTTCACTTCCTGGACTTCTGCAGCTGGCCTGCATATAGAGAAGGAAATGCAGTTTGAGGGAGGCAGGCATTCAGGCTCCCAGCAGGCTTTGTGTGGATTCCCAGTTAGGTACGGTTGCGCTCAGACCTCACTTGGAAGGCTGATTGCCGCCCTTAGATCACACGTGGACACTGTGTCTCTCTGTTCCGTGACCCTGTGCTTCATCCCACCCACCTTCCTCCCAGCACTGCTGTGGTCTAGCCCACAGAGCCACTCAGAGGTTGAAATCTCACTAGTGATGAAAATCATGATTGAAAACCACAGACATTTCAAGGTATCCATTGCTCTGCCCTTTGATTTCGCCTTATCTCTGTGGGTGCTTGAATTTGGTGAACAGTTGATTTAGCAAATTAATTGTGTGTGTTTGTAATACTGAATTCTTGCATTTTGCATTAAGTATCTCCATTTCTGTAACCTATAGAGAAATATGTGCTGGTGTTGGATGTCTTCCAAGCATTTTGTGGAAATACAGGCTTCATTCATTATGAGTGAAAGGTGGCACCAGCACTTGGCTTTTCTCCTGTCCAGGTGAAAATCATAGCTCTTACTATATACCCTATTGGATTTGCACTTTACATATATTTTTGCTGTACTGTTTAAACATACAGCAGCTCTGGCAAATAATGCCTACCGTGGCTGTGCTGAAGAAGTAACGGACCTGCACTTCAGAGTCGTTCCCTTTTTGGTAGAATGAAATTAATCTCATGTTCTTGATTCCCCCAAAGGAATGACATTGCTGGAGTCTGCAGCTGCCTGCGTGGATCTCCATAGTAGCAAAAATGGTTTGACTAAATACTTGGAATCCTGTGTCATTTTTTATATGAAGTCAATCAACCATAATGTATTTCTTTTTTTAATGTTTGAATTATTCAGAGAATCATAGTCATAAAACTGGAAGAGATCTTGAGATCTAGAATGTTCCTAGCAGAAAGATTGCCAGGCAGTTAGATATAACTGAAGCATAAACAAGAGAATCCAAAAGAATATTCAAGGAATGATTGTTTTTTAATATTACCTAGTAACAGCATGAGCTGGAGGAGTGACTGCAGCCCCTTGAGACAGTGAGCTCTCTGGAACCGGTTTGTTCTTGTCATTGGAAGCGTATTTGACACCGCTTTTGGCCCCAGCCCTGTGGTTATTGCAGTAATGAGTATGTACTCTTCTCAGGAGGCAATTATGGTAGTTCCTCACCCACGTAAATTCCTTTCCACACTCCCCCACGGATCACCCCAGGAGCAAAACAAGTGGAAATCCAGGGGTCCCAGTCTGTTGAAGGCCAGGCTTGAGTGAGTCTCTCGAGCATCACCATTTGTCCTTCTGGTAGCACAATTCAGCCTTACCTTCTGAGGTTCACTTTTTAAAAATGCAATGTGTTTTTGTTTAACATTAATCCTTACAGCTTGAGTTTTGGCTTTTAAGCGAAAGAGTGGCTGTAAACTCTGTCATAGTTAGTGGACATAAATATTCATTAAATGAGATTCCTTTGGTTTTGCCTTTTCATAATTGTATGTAAGGGAACTTGTTCACAGAGATTTATATCTTAAAGTGAAAGAAAAGTGTTTTGCCAGAATGTTCTCATTTTTCTCCTTTAAAATAATGTCAGGTTAAATTTTGCCCAGTGTGAAAGTGGATATGTAGCAGCTTGATTACAAAACATAGAAATTAACTCAGTTGTGAGCACTGAGCTACCTAGATTGATCCTTGCAGCTCAGTGCTGGGGTAACCATGTGTCTGAGACCCCTTCCTGGCCAGGCAGAGCCCACACAGATGAGTACATGGGCCATCCCAGCACCGTGTGATTAATGTGATGATAGGTGTGTGCTTGAGGCCCCAGCCAGCGTGACCCTTCTGAGCAGAGAATAAAATCTAGGCTTCAGAAACAGCACAGATAAGCCTGAAGTCTGCCATGAGCCCGGAGTACACAGAAACCACAGGAGGTGGCATTGCCAGAGAACATCAAGTGACTCAGCAGCAGGCCTGGAGCCTAAGCCCTTGTAGCCACTAAGACACCAGTGCTCCATGGCCTCGTAGCCTGGGAGAGGGAGGGCACACCCCGTCTCCTGAGCCAGATTTACTCAGAAGCTTACCCTGCAGCTAGCACTAGTACCTGCTGCCTTTTCTTGGGAAATCTCAAGAATTGGTACCTAAAAATGACCCATGGTAGCTAATGCTTGGATTTTTCCGGACACATTGCCTTTCACTTAAAGCTGAGATACGGATCTGGAGACCATGCATGCACAGTCCATGGAAGAATATGGCTAACTAAATTAAATTATAGGCTTGCCACACTTAACTGACCTGCTGTGGAGAAGGGAAGGCTGGGCCGCAGTAACAGCTGGGGCAGGAAGAGATTGTTCTAGTCGGGGGCGGCGTTGCATTCATGTGCAACACGAAGCACTGCCAGGCACAGACAGGCGGCCGCCCCGGTAGTCCCTGTCCCCCTCAGCCTTAGGCTGCTCTCAGAAGTAATGGGCCCTTCCTGTACCGTGTAGCCCATGCCAGGAGTCTGCCACCGGGGCACCCCCCCATGCAAAAGGGAAGGAATTCTCTCAATTCAGTTAGGGGACACAGCGCTCAGGCAGCCACCTGGCTCCCAAAGAGCTGGCTCTGCTGAAGGAGGAGTACCTCTTGGTAGCGCCCGAAAGTGCCTGTGTATTTCTTGCTGTTACATTATTTGCCTTTTTGTCCGTAACTGAATTCGGAAATGTCTGTGTTCATGTTTAAATTTTAGCTCAGCTTTACAACCAAAAGTGAATGCCAACCCTCGGGTTTTAGTTTGCATTTTGTCTTTTAATGTTATCCTTCCCACCAAGAAGCTTCTTCAGGTCTAGCACATGGCAGCAGTGTCTGAAAATTAGGTCTGCCCTACGTTGGAGGGGGTGCCTCCCTTGTATTTCCCATGCCAGGCAAGCTTTTATAAGACAGTAGGTAGAGGTGTTGAGGAGATAAAACCCTTGTCAGAGATGATGAGAAGGAGATAAAGCCTTTGAGGATGGATGAATTCATAGTCCTTCTTAAGGCCCCTTCAGATCTTGTGATTCTGTCAGTGTTAACGAACCAACCCAAACCATTACCGGCACAGGGCCGACGTCACTCTGACAAATGAGGGCATGTTGCCATGCGTATGGTTTCTGCCATATCAAATGAATTGGTTTCTGGATTTTTCCATCTGACCCCTAGTGGGTATGGCATTAGAAAACTATAAAGGTGGAAGTTAATCTTGGTACCATCTCATTATAAATACATACCTCAAAATACTCACCTTTATAAGTCAAGACTACCTGACTTTCTTGGGAGAGGAAGTATCTGGGAATTGCATGTTGATTCAAAGTTTGGAACCCGACCTTGATAGTCATGATTCTTTGAGGTTGTTTTCTTGGTCCTCTGGAACATATGAGAAGGTAAACTATAACTCAAAAGAAAAAAAAGAAAGTGGTTTTTACAAAAGTATCTCCCTTACATACTTTTTTGTCATCTGAGTGATGGAAGCCTGTTGCCAGTCGCCAGGACAAAGTATAGACTAAAATATTTGTGTCGCCATTAACCATTGTATTCATTGGCATCTTCTGCTCTTTGCCTTGTTTTTTAAATTACTTTGGCTTTCAAGGTACTGTCCTTTTGCAAAAGAAAATGTACAAAAATTGCTATTAACTGGACAACAGGGAAGGTGCTGGCCCCACGTCCGTGCCTACCCACCACTGGCTCCGTAGCCAGGGACGCAGACACCCACTGGCACGGCCAGCAGGCTGGATCCACGTCTGGACCTGGCTGCAGTGGGCTTGTTCTTCATAGCTAGCTTTCTTTTTCTGAAATGAGATTCTCCAGGGCTGAGGCTGAATGTAGTAAGACTGAAGCTAAAACAGCTCTCTCCAGGGTGGTTCTGGCAGAACTCCTCTGGCAGTTGCCCTGTCCTTTGCTGCTGGATCCCATCAACCACACCAACAGTCTTGACGTGGACCTCCTGAATGTGATGCGGCGGTACTGTACGAGGGTGTCCTGTGATGACATGTCTGTATCCAGTCCTTCATCCTATGCTGCTGAACATAATGAATGTTTTCACTCTGCTCAGCTTCCCACTGTGCTGCGTCTAACCTCTAATGTACGTGTAGCCATTACCTGTGTAAGGCTCTCTGTGCAGAGTTGGCCCTGTGGTTTAAAATAAATGTTTGTGAACACCTGCCTGCAATTACGTTCCCATTAGCGCTTTTACGTGGGGCCACACACCCCAGTAGACTGGTTTGGTGCTACCCTTGTGGGTTCTGACACACGTCGGGGTAGGTAGGGTGGGGAATTACGCAGATTACTTCTGCATCTGGCTGTCTAGACCTCAAGGAGAACCATCGTCTGGAAACACGGGTGAGACATAGGCTGTGCCCGTGTGGCCCTTATCTTCATGTAACTCAGCTACTGTGTTTCATAAACTTTCCAAATTAGGAAAAAAAGACTATAAGAGGTAGGAAAAGCCCCTTTCAAAACTCCTGAGGTTGTTTTGTTTTGATTTAGTTTGGTTTGCTTTTGGTTTTTGGTTTTTTTTTTTTTTTTTTTTCTTAGACAGTCTTGCCAGTAATTCAGACTGGGTTTGAACTCACTATGTAGCCAAGGCTGGCTTCAAACTTACAGTGATCCTCCTGCCCCCGTCTCCTGAGTGCTGGGATGACAGGTGTGTGCCCCACGCCCAGCTGATGAGGTCCATTTTATGGAGATGAAGATAGGTGTAGAGAAATAAGTGACCGCTCCACCCCCACCCAGGGCCAGCACAGCCTCGCCCACACGGAGCGCCACAAAAGGCCCCAACTTCCTGCAGAGAAGCAGCGAGGCAGTTGGATGAAGCCAGTATTTGCCAAACAGTGCTGCTTCCTGCCAGGACACCAGCCTTCCAGGTAGTGCACCCAGAAAAGTCCCTTTTCCAAGTGCTTGGCTGGTGATCCCTGGATCTGAGTATTTCAAATGCCACCAAGAAGCCACGTCCACCTGGGTTTGCTGCTACTGTGGGGTAGGAGTCGAGTTTATTTCTCCTTGGACACCGAGAACTTCAGTACATGGATTCTAAATCTGCTCTGCTGATCTGTGTTTCTCTGGAGTCAGAGACACTGATGTGACTCAGAGGTTTTATCAAAGTGTAGATAGATTAGAATGCCAGGGGCATTACTGAAGCCTCTCATAATCTTAAGCAAGTATAAACTAGGCCTCATTTAAATTGTTTATATAAGTATGCATCATCGCTTGGTTGTGCTCGCTCCTGAGGACATGCATTGTCCAGGCAGTGTCCTGGCCTTTGCAGGATGCAGAAGTGGATGCCCAGCAGTTACTCAGTGGACATGGAGGAGCCAAGGGAGGGGAAGAGGCAATTGCGGGAAATGCATTGGGCTTCCCTCCTGGGTCCCCTCACACAGTTTTGGTTACTCTTCAGCGTGGAAAGTGTTTTACAATCATTCTCAAATAGATAAGACATTTCAACAAGAAAATAACCTGCCTCCAAAGACTAAGGTTAGCTTGATTAGAGCCCCAGTCATGTGCATTTTAAAATAAAACTTTCCATTCTTCCTAGTGCCTCATTGCTACATTGGTGTTTAGGTGGACACCAAAGTAGAGCCTCGCCAGCAGCCCTGAGTCCACACCTGCAGGTATTTCCACCTTGGGTCACCGGGCCAAGCCCAACCTCCCACCAGCTGTTCGGGATTTCAGTGGGTTTGTCCTCTTCCTCTAGCCAGAGGGACTGCAGAAGCTGGTTACTGATCCACACCAGACAGGTGATGATGTGTAAGCTGCGGTGGCCCAGCTGACCTCTCTGCCACCTGCTGCCTCTTGGTCCTTAGATACCATCCCTGCCCTCAGAGGTCTCAGCGGTAGGCACCACAGCTGGCATTGTCAGAGGAGCCTACACAGAGGAGAAAGTGAGAGCTTGGTAATTCAAGATGCTCTCTAGCCATGGGCCAATGCTGGGCAAGGACTGGAAACCAGATGGCAGCCAAGGCTCGAAGGGGGGGCACACATGCTGATGGATGGGCAGCGGGAGGGGGTGCCACTGTCCTCCTGGCCACCCAGTGGTCCCTCCAGCCAGGGTGCTTATCATCCATAACAGGGCAAAGGGCACCAGAGAGAAGGGGCTGGCTTACACCCACGGGCCACGTCCACTCTGATCCCTACCTCCTGCCGCAGACTTGCCCCCTGAGGAGCCACTGAGGTTGAGAACAAAACCTAAACAAGCAAACACTCCCCAAACAGAGCAGATCCCAGTTCTCTGTTCGAGTTGCTCTGGAGCTCCTGCTGCCCTGGGACTCAGTACGTTCCTGAGACGTCGTACTTCCCCACGGTAGGAATCCTCTGCACCCTGTCCCCCCAGGACCTGGCCTTGCCCAAGGCCGGAATGACAGGACTAGCACAAACTCAAAGGGACCCAGTAAGTTCATAAAGAGAAGTGGAGAAGGGGGATGCAAAATCAGGGGTGATACACTTGCCAAAATTAACCCCAAGAGGTGAGGGAGTCATCTCACCAGCAAGGCCCAGGCACCGTCTAGGAAAGCCGGAGACAGTTCCACCCTCACCTTGGGTTCCGTGGCAGGGGAGACCAAGCTGCTGCCCCTACTGCTTCACACCCAAGGAAGAGATTACTACATGGCCCCTGAGCTGCATGGCCAGTGCAGGGGAGAGTGAGCCACACCAGTATCTGTCCTCTCGGCTGCAGGTCAGTCTGTTCCCCAGCCTGATGGGGGACCCCAGTGCTGGCAGCCTCACAGCTTAGGAGAACATTCTTGAGTAAAGGGATATTATGTGGCTGGCTTCTTTTTAGTACCAAAAAATGAAGTGGAGTTATAATCTGCTCTCCTGCTTCCAAACAGCATTTATCCAAGCTCTGCAGAACAATTTGAAAAGAACTTTGTTCTAAAGCCCCTGAGGTGTTGCCTGGTAGAAGATGCTGCTCACCAGCACCTGAAAGTGCGTCCCTGTCACCCCAGGCTCCCGTGCACCTGCACCCAATCAGTCCATCCCTGAAAGCAGAGTCACCTCCTCTTTCTAGTCTAAGAAACAAGGGCTGGCGTGACGGTGGGAGCCACACTGAGCTCTGGGTTGGACCCTCCCTGTGCCTGGCCTGAGCCATTTTTCCAAACCTCCCTGAGCACCCTGGCCCCTTGGCAGTTTTAGCATTTCTTATTTATAGGAAGGAGTATAGTAAAAAGAGAAAGAATTTTCTCACTTCCTCTACCAAGTGCTTCCGCCTCTTCCTACTTCAGGCTGGCATGAGGTGCCCTTTGGCTGGCCTGGCCTTGCTTAGGTGCACAGGGGACTCGGATCTCACACTGGCTGCAGGCTACACCCCCTTTTCCCCACAGACCTCAAGGAGCATGGTGTCTCCCACAGGAGCAGTTTGGAAACAAAATACTTCACTTGCAAGGCCTGAGTGGGATTACAGAATTTTAAAGAGAAGACAAATTGCTTGATCCAAGATCTTCAATTTTTACATCAAAAATAAACTTTGGGGCTGAGGGCATACACCTTACTGGTATATGCCCTTGCCTAGCATGTATGAGATCTGGGGTTCAATCCCCAGCACCCCCCACAAACACACACACAGAGTAAAATAAACTTTTTCTTCCAAAAAGAAACATTTATGTACGTGGAAAAATTAGGATATCTTGATGGTAAAGTGGAACAACTTGAAACTTTCTCCAGTACCCTTCGGAGGTGACAGACAGCCACCTGCTAGGGGCCCCTGCCCAGTCCCCCCTCGCCTCTGTGGTCACAGACCGGCTGGCTGCACTGTGAGACCCCATCGTAACTCTGTCCTGGAGACAGCAGATGGTGACCTGCACCTTAACCCAGATGGCAGATCCCAGCGGTGGGCTTAGTAGACATAGGCTTTGTAAACATAGAGCCCGAGGTTGGAGCTGTCAGGATGCTAAGCTTGGGAGTATAAAGGGCTAGGGCCTGGACAGGAGGAGCCAGCATGTCTTGTTTCAGGAAGTGGGAGGAAGTGAGAACACATGCTCTAAACACCCTTGGCTTCAGTCTCCCCTAACTGCCAAGAGTAACCTCTTCATACGCACGGCAGGAGACTGCAGACTGCTAATTTCTCCCGGGCCCCCGTGGGGTGCTACACAGCTCCAAAGCACACCTCTTTCTATAGGGTCATGGCTGGAACCACACACAAAGATCCTAAGCCATGTGCTGTTAAAACCTGATATCCTCACTGAAGGATGCAATGCAGCAGTTTTCTATTTCCGTGGACACGTACCAACAGCACTCTCCAGCCCTGCACGGATTTCCTTTGTACAAGTGCTGCATAATTCCAGCTCCTTCCAGCCACCTGTGCTGTGGGAGCAACTGTGTATGCCATGTCCTTCGTCTGTCCGCAATGTGAGGGCAAGCAGTGCCCACCTGACAGGGACTGTGAGGAGGCTGGGGTTTCAGACAGACAGCACTGCGGCCAGCGGTGGGCGTTCAGGTGGCTGCTCTGGCTTTGGGAGGAGCAAGGGGCTGCAAGGGACCCAGGTGAGCTGCCCGAGGCCACGCGGTCGAGGGCGGGTGGCAGATCCGGAGGAGAGCTAGGCTGGTCTTCACTGCTGCTCTCGAGCACTTCCAGATATTCCACATCTCACCTCGGAGTACTTCCAAAATCCTGGGAAGTGGCGATGGGAGCTGGGCCCGTGCCTAGGTCCCTGACCGTCCTCCCTTGACTTCCCTCAGCCCCGGCTCACTCCTCTCCAACACAGGAATGACAGTGTTCACCGGCTCCCTCTCTCGCCAGGACACTGCTGTGGTCAGGAAGGAAGGGGTCCCCTGGGGAGCCTCCTGCCAACCCCACCCCACCCCGCCTCTGAGGACAAGGCTCTGCTTCGCTGCTCCCAGTGTATCCCTCCCCTGAAATTGAAACGCAGCAGCTCCTCAGTCTGCACTGTGCTGGTTTTAGGTCACTCCTGGGGAGATTCAATCCTGCACTACTCAGATATTTTTAGATGAAACATAAGCACCTCAGCAATTAAAGCCTACAATGTACCTGGAGCATCAACCTGGCCAGGAAGCACCGAGGAAAACAATGGCCAGGCACATTCAGGCGCTGCTTGCTGAGACAGGAGCATGATGGCGCCTTTAGGTGCAGAGCCATGGAGCTGGTAGTAAGTGCCGGGGGAGACAAGCCCCAACCCAGTCTGCTGAGGAGTCTTGATTTCACTTCCTTGGAAACTGGTC